TTCTTGGAGGCGGGGCCGGAGAATTTTTTCGGACGGCTTGTAGCTTTCTTAGTGTCGACTGCGGCAGTCTCCATTTCTTCACTTTCTGCGTTCGTTTGACCCTAAAACCGCAAATAAGTGAACTATTAGAAATTAATGAAAAAAAAAACTTGCCTCGTTATCACCAGTGAGTCCTTTAATTTGTAAAGCTTCGGCCGTCTTAATAAACAAGGACAGATTCTCTTGAGCAACTTGCACTTCGCCTTGATACATAAATTGCAATAAATCCATCAGTACGACGTAACTAACATCTTTCATGAACACAATGGGATGTTTACACGGGTTGCTTTGGAATAATTCACGAAAGTAAGGGCTACAAACGGAGAGAACCATCTTGTGTGCCTTCAAGTATCGGCCCTCGATGGCCAAGGTGACGTCAACCAAAACTTCATTTTCGAGCAAGGACTGCATTCCCATGCTCATATTGCGATGGAAATTATCCCAACACAGTGAAAACTGCTCTGAAGCCATTTTCATGGAAAAATTCCACAACTAAAGGAAAAATCCAATTTAGACAAATATGGCGGCGTAAACTGAAGATGTAAATGGCTCTAAGGACCCAACTTACCGTTTATCACAAAATCATTCAACGAAAATGATAAAGTTCTTGGACTATACAAAAATGGGCGCTAAAATGCTTTACATACAGCGTAAAATAACTAAAAGATTCTCGGAAAGAGAACTACGAATTCGAATGAGTAAACGAACTACAAGAATGGACGCTAGAAAACAGCAATGTTGCCAAATCCATACCGTGATTCATTCTTTAATCGTGATATACAGGGTCACGTAAAATAAATTAATTAATTGAGAATCATGCTCCTAGGCTATTTTCAGTCGTTTGGACGTTGAAATTTATACAGTGTGTTGTATTACGTATCTATTGTTGTTTGAATATGTGGCAAGGACTACGTTTGTATTATGAACAACAAATGAGTACTTAAAATTTTTCCGCCTGATTAAACGCAACACAGCGTACACTTTTTTTCATTTTTATAATTCTCATTACCGTAAGATAATATGCGGTATTAGAATAAATGTAATATTAAGTAAAAGAATATTTTGTCATGAGCTGTTCCGCAATAAACGAAAGTCTTTTTCCTGATATCAAATTCCCCTCGTATTCCCCTTCCGCGAGTCTCTCCTCATGGTTCCTTCAACTTCTGTTACGTTGTCCTCAAATCCTCAAAATGTTTTGAAATTCTTAACTTCGTATATTCTGTGGTAATATACCCCTACGGTTAATCAATACCTGTCACAAATGACAAGATCGCAGCATCTTCAATTTGTTATTCCTTATAGATTTTGCATAAAATATTAATATTTAAGCGTGGCGTACTTCAAGCTGTTGTTTATGTACTGTTAGTAAATGACGTTTGTTTGTTATTTACATTGTTTTATTACCTATTTATTTATGTATTCACGAGGTGGTTTATTGTCAGTGATGCTGCTCTGTATGATTCGATTTAATTATTAAGAAAGTAACTATAATACAGTTCGATTATTCTCTGCATCTGTTGCTCTCCCACCTCGTGCAGACCACAGCTCTTCCTCTTAGCATGTACCTACTTTTCGTGTTAATTATATGGTAGCCGAGGCTGGAGTAGATCCACGCCATTTTTATGGTTTTTCATGTACAAGCAATTTACCATTTTACCAGTAAATGTGTTTACTCTGTGCCTGTACTTAATTGACGATCGTGTAATTATGATGTCTGTTGTGCTTGTTGATTTACTGCATTTGACTCGATACCTAACTTTCATGTTAGGTACCTACGTTTTGAGATGTTTGATTTGTATATTTTGCTCTTTTGCATTTTGTTGTATTGTATTTCGTGTACCTATTTGTATGGGTTATGCCAGGTTTTTGCCCATAAAATGTTTTCCTGGTATAGTTAAAATATTTTATTTGTTCTTGTCTTTTATTACGCACAAAATTCTGCGTTTTCTTCAATTGTCTTCTCAGTCTCACGTCCATCGTACCCTCCATATCAATTCTTTCTGTTTAATGCATGTTTTTCTGACGAATGCATCCCGAAAAATTGAATGTTTGGACTGGCATTTTTGGTAACCATATCGTAGGCCCCTTCTTTTTACCTGGCAATTTAACAGGAGAAATGTACCTGGAGTTATTAGAAAATACGATTCATCCAGCATTAGTGAAGATACTAGACAATAACAACGAGTACTTTGAAAATCGTCTAGTATTTTAGCAGGATGGTGCGCCACCCCACTATATGCTACAAGGGTTTGGACCAAACGTTTTCATGAAAATAGATTGGAAGAAGAGGAGCTATTGAATTGCCTCCTCGTTTCCCCGGACTTAAGTCCGTTAGATTTTTTTTATGGGGCCATGGGGACAACTTGCGACAAAGAATAATTGATGAATGTCGTCAAATCACCCCAGAAGTTTTTCAAAATGTACTGGAGAGGTTTGAACAAAACCTGTATTATTATATGGAATTCGAAGGCCAACATTTTCAACATTTACTTTATTGATTTTAGTTTTAAGCACTTAAAATAAAATTGATTTAAAACTTATGGGTTATAATCCACATAAAAATACCTTCAAAATAAGGTATCACGCGACCCCACATTCGATTAAAAATTCTGGGGGGCTTGTCATGTTTTGAGGTCCCCAAAATAGGCTCTGTTTCGTTTTCAAATCGCCACCCTGTACATATAATAATGAAATCAAGATTTTAAACAAACGCATTTGCATAATAAAGATTCTTTTTTTTTAAACTCCATGCTTTAAGATAACCCTGCTTACAGTTATATTTGATTAGCTCCTCTCAGGCTTTACTTGCTTTTGGAATTGATATCCACTTTGGACAAAGTTTGCCCTCGGGAAATTTCACCCAACCAAAATCAGAAGGATCTGGAGCATGAATCAGAGGATTTCTAGCAGAAGCCCATATGCTCGCTTGATACACAGCCCTTTTGCAGTGTAGCAGTAGAGCATCTTGCGTGGGAGACATGGTCTCTAGGTTATGGTGGCCTTTCTAAGCTGGTTCAAACTATTTGTTTCCCCGCTTAAATGTTAACAAAAAAGTTTATAGTTCACTGAACAAGAGAGTTTACTTATAAATGGTTTAGTCAAAATCTCACACATTGCGGATATTAATGATTCTCCTCTTCTTTGCATTGCAAGGAATGTGGTCTTTTTTTGTTCTTCCTCTGATCGACGATGTGGAATCTGTTAGGATGGTAAATAAGTGCAGAGCGCGGCTAAGTTTTGACCCCAAAGCGTGGTAAATGTTTCCTATATTTAATTTTCTTCTGTTTTTCCCGTTCCATAATATACAGGGTGGTATTTTTAAGTGGACCATTAGCAGTATTTCAGAAACGGTTTGGAATTTCGAATCGGAACCCCATTACCTTTTTTGAATAATCGATCAAAAGGAATCATTTAAAAATATTTTCAAGATGGCCGCTTTTCCGGTTGTATCAGAACGGCACCGGAACTTTCTTATTTCAAATCTGATGGCATTTTCGAATTCCTCATAAGGAATCATCATTTTAGAGCCTGCACATCTACACTGTAGCAGAAAGCTTCTAGTGAAAACTTGAAGTCTGTAGCTATTGTAATTGCTGAGATCTCAGCCGCACAGCCAGCCAGCAATTACGAATATAATAACGTATTTTTTAAAAAAATTCGCTAAAAATGAACTACATTCCCTAAATTTAAATTGCAAGTGGCATACAATGTCGTAAAGGGTACTTCATGACTTTTGGACGCTTTAAACGTGAACATTTAATTTTCAAAATATCCACATTAAATGTAGGTACAATCGATAGCAAATTTAGCACCGAACTCCCTGCGAAAGATCGTGGATGCAATAGCAACGAAAACGATGAGTATGAAGGTATTTTTCTTCTTCTTATATACACATTCATTCACTTCATTAGACCACGAAAACTGGTGGGTAAGGGTTAATAGTGAACAGTAGTAAGTACACACAAAAAGAGCGCGTGACCAATCAGTAGATACGAAAAAAAATATAATTTTGTTGTGTACTCATAGCAAGTCACGTTGTATCTACTGATCAATTAAGCATTCGATAGCCAATATTGCCGCTGCATAAACATACGTGACCATTAAAAGAAGCTATAGATTAGATTAGAATAAAAACCAGGTTAAAATTCAGTCTGGCAATGACGACGTTACCAACGACGCCACGCAGACTGACGTCACCTGACGCCCCTAGAAAATTCGACGCCGAAGCGCAAGCCGCCGCGCACGGGATGCAATAAAGGCTTCGAATGTATTCTCTCCAGTCAGTGAGTGACATGATAGCATCAGCACGTCTTCATAGGCAACACCATCCGCGCGGAAAGACATGTATCAAGATGAACATGGAATCGGCAAAAATCATTTTTACGGTAAGTTACCTTTGCGATTCAGCATTCCAAAATTTGCTACCATTTTTATTCATCATAAATTGAAATTTTTACGGAAAACTATACGGAAGGAAGCCACCGGCATTTTTTGGGGCGGTGACTCTACGCCACCAAAAACTGTTTTACTAGTTTTCCATTTCTCGGCGTGCAAAATTTAGCCAAGCGCTTGATAGAAAAAGTCATTTTTAATCTTAAAGTTAAATAGTTTGAGGTTTTAATATCATTGATTTAGATTAATTTTTGGCAAAAAAATCCAAATTGAACAATTTTTGAGGTCTCACGATGAAACTAGTTACTTTTCCAAAGAACGAAATGTATGACCTTAAAATAACCTTTGACTTTGGAAGACGAATCCACCTCAGCAGCGATGAATGAATAGCGAAAAGAGTAGAAAAATGATTTTTTTAGTATACCTGTTCACAGTAATTCCAGCATGCGGTTAATTAAGTGCCAGATAAACATTAAATCTGTAGGTAATAAGCGTGGGTGTTACTTTTCATTGATCAACGAATCCCGCCAAGCGTCTGGACGCTGACTTGCGCGTCCTACCTGAATTTACTACAAATTTAAATAACAATTTTAATTGCAAATTCCCATTCACGCCTCCTGGAACGAGAAATAAGGAAAATGCACAAACAAAATCCATTGTCACGCAAAATGTAAGCAACAAATCAAAGTCAAGCCGTCCAAAACCATTTTTCAACTGTGGATAAATGGAAAATGTACACTCGGTCCGTAGAATGAATGAAATTCTATTAACCCTACTCTAGCTGCACGCTTTTTAATTACAAACTGAAAAATTCCATTTTACTTTAGTAGAGCTGTTAGGCACAGGTGGCGAGACAAAGAAAAACGCTTCATTTTTGAACGATTGTCACAGTCTATCTTTGACAAATTCCAGCAACATCGTTTCGTAGAACCAAGAAAGCTCAATGTAATGTGGTTCGTTTCTAAATTTATAAATAATCGTGAAAGGATAACCAAAATATAAGGGGTTATTCTAGAGCCTCATGAAAATCATTCAATATTGAAAAGTGTTCAGAGATTGCAACAAATTAGAATTCAGAAGAATTTTTTCAAGAAAGTTTTTTTTAAATTGTGGCGAAGATAAAATGTCACGCCTATAATTATGGCCTTTACCAAAGGAACAACAAAAATGAGACAGATGTCCCAAAATGGTTCTTAGTAGGTAGATAATTTTAAAGGAATGCCTATTCCCCAAAATGGTATGCATAATTCGATCTGGTATTTGGAAGTTTTTAAATACATCACATTGCAAAAAATTGGTTTTAATAAACATACAGTCGTATACAAACATGTCTTAGATTG